TTTTTTTTTGTTTGTTTTACTTAGTCGGTAGAGGTAGGTATGTGTCGTATTTAAATATTCTAAATTGAAAAAAAAACTGGAAGCTGAAGTAGTGTTTCTGAAGTACCCATAATCTACCAGACTGAATTGTAAATAAAGACGTGACAGAAAAATAAAATAAAATAAAAACTATCTCGTATAACATGACTGTCACTGGACACTTGCAGAATAAAGAACTATGTTCTGCGATGGCATTGACAACTAAAATGTTTAGCTTTCATATAAGGCTGCATCCACACCACTAGTTAGCCTATATAAGTCCAAGATGAACATAATAGCAATGCCTGTTTCCTGAAAGCATCGTAATCCTACAAAGATCATAGAAACCATTGGCACCGCACCAATGGTCTCTACAATCTACTGTGGTTTACGGTTGTTTATGAGAAATGCAGACCAACATGGCAGTTACTGAGTGCATCTTTAATACAATTTGCCAATTAATTCTGGCCATTGTGTTATTATGCCGTATTTTAGTGTCAGTATTTTATCATTCCTCATTATATGTGTAAAGACACCAATTATTTAATAGGCTGGAGTTATCTTCGCAAAGAGCTACATTCACAAATACACTTTTCAAAGAGTTTATAATAGTGCACTTTTGGCAAGTCATATAGATAAAAAAAGGTAAATCTCCTGAGCAAACAAAAACTCTAGCACAGGCAAACAACCAATGAATTTATATTCAGTGTTTTTTTTTTTTTGCATATGTCCGTACATACATACATACACATAGGCTACACACAACAAAAATTGAGTAACAGCCAATACTATAACCTTTGCCAAATTGTTGAATATATTGAATAAAATATATCAGTTTAACATTATTTATTGTATGACTTTAATTTTTGGATACAGTCAAAAAGGTCAAGATGAGGTGGGACAAACCAAAATTATTTGAAGGGTTTAAAATGTGCTAATTTATTTCAAATTTATCCTAGTAATAATGTGAGATTTGGTCCTCTAATATTTAAAAAATAAATAAATAACTAAGTGTACCACATTTGTTAAATGTGCCAGTGTCACCTTCTAGTGGTTGGTTATTTGAATCACATGTGTATGTTCTGTATGTTTCAAGGAGGCGACAGTTGTAAAGACAGATGAAATGGTAAAAAAGGCCTTGTTCAAGGGAGAAGATGTTAGACTTGTTTTGATAATGAACGAATTTGTGAATGAATCTTTCTAACAATTTCTACAAGACATTTTCTAGCACCCAGCCAACATCATTGCTCCCCCACCTACAAGCCAAAAATAATATTGTAGGTGAAGATGGTGGTCTTGCGTGCCATTGACAAATGACCTTCTGAACACTGACTGCCAGGTCCCTTCTTTTATAGGTCGTGACAACAGTTGAGATGTTCTTATACTGTATATAAAACCCTATTTAGAATAGACTGGTGCCATTTTTT